ACACTTCTCAACGGGCCTCATTCTTGGCAAATGTTATTTGATCCTGAAGGGATTGCTGCAGCATCTCAAAGCCATGACGAGCAGACTCCTGTCCGGCGCAAACTTTTGCAACAAGAGAAGCTGAAGCATTTTGCTCAAACCCACCTCTTTGGCTCGTAGTTCGTTGATCTGCGTACTGGCCTTGTCTTGCATGTCTTCGAGCAAATCGACCTTAGCATCAGCACAAGAATCGTATTTTGGAGAACCTGCGGTTGCTTGATACTGCTTGGACTTGGACTTATATAATTTTGTCCAATCCTTCTGAGAGCATTACGATGCTCCCGCTTTCATAGGCCAGTGGTTCAATACTCGGCACCTTACCGCCAGGTCATATCTCAGGCTCTGCAGCCTGCCTGCTTGCTCCAAGCTGCACCTTGTCTGAAATTTGCAGGAGGGCTGCAAGGCCTCGTCAAAAAATATAACATGGCTATCAATCTGAAGAGTGTTCCAGAAAAAGATAAAACGAAGGATTGAAACCTCGCTGAGTCTCTGGCCATCCGTATCAGCCTGGGTATGGGAAAGCTGGCCGCTTCATCAATATGTTCCCAACACCGGAAGCATGGTTAGGTGGTGCAAGACACGAATGTGAGGTTCAACAAAGTGGTTCTCATGGAGCTCTCTAGGCCTTCTTCAAGCTTCTGTAGTCAAAGAAATGCAGCTGTCACATTCTGAGAAATCTCAGGCCATTGGGATCACCTAACAGTGTGCAATATCCTTGGAAATTGTGTTTGCCCGAATAATACCTTTGCCTTAGCCAGACCGCAAGTTGCATAGTTGTGCCCGCTAGCCTCTTGCCCCTTTCAAGTCATTAGTTTAGTATGGCTCATCTTGGCTTCTTTAGCTTATTTAGTGACACTGTCCGTTGCCCAAAGACTCAACCGAAAACGGTCAAGCAGCAGCACCAGTGGCACCAGATGCCAGAGCATTGATTGTAGCTTGAGCATCTGGAGCCTTCACCAGTCAATCTGTAGAAGCATGCCCTCGCCTTCAGTCAGAAGTCCCACTGCCCTGCCTCCTGAAACTGTAAAAGTCCAGACTTGCCACGACCCTTGGAGGCCTAGAAGAAGCTTAAACAGCCAAGAGGCCAAAACAGCAAAACTGGTCTGGACTCTGTCATTAGGATACCGAAATTGCCTCGCCTTCTCCAACATCCGAACTGCTTGCTGCATGGATTCTGCAGAGTCCGTCAAGTCCTGACTATTGCAATCTATCACGCGGTGTATATGCATAGAGGCGGGAAAGCTGCTTAGCATGCTGGGCACCTTCTGAGCACTCTCGAACTGAGCTTTCTCCTGGCACACCACAACTGGTGCCACAGTTTGCTACAAAGCTTTTGGCAAAAAAGACATGCAAAGGAGTCCAGTCTAAGCGCTTCAATGGAGACTAGTCACCAGCCCATGGGCTTTGGCAAAAAACAAATTCTATTGTAGCGTTTAATGCTCTTAGCCATCGAATGCTGCCATCCGTTGCCTTGTTGCGAAGGCTTGTCACTGACTCTAGGTTTGCCTCAATGAAAGCAAAAGAGACAAAGAGGGAGGGAGAAAAGCAAGAGAAGCAAGAGGGAGAAAGAGAGAGAGAGAGAGGGGGAAAAAGGGGGCAAATAGACGTTCGTTTTGTTGGAAGGTGCAAGGCATTGACCTAAACACTCACATCATCTCACAACTAGCGTGGTTTGGCCATTCTTAGCACTTGCCTCATCGGACTCAATTCCAGAGATGGCCTCCTGTCACACTCCGTCGTTTCGTCGCTTCAATCGAGCATGATCTTGAATCTTAATATATCGTTTATAATTGTCAGAGCCCTTAAACAAGACTGACCAAGTCTTCAACGAGTCTTTAACCTTCTCTTCTGGACATCCATCCTGAAGGCGGCGACTTAGAGATTGGATCGTCCCTTCTGCTTTTGAGATCCTGCCACAAGTAACAGAGGCAAAATTTTACAAACGAAACAATGTTGCCGCTGGCCTTGCTTCTAGTTCCTGCTTTGCAACACTGCTACTGCGGATGGAAGAACCTGCCACGAAGCAAACCAAATTCATCAAAATTCACACCTTCCCCAACAAAGCCAACCGCGCTTAGTACAAAGTCCAGAGCCTAAGTCGCCTGCACGGGTGTCGCAGAAAAGGTCGTATTCCTGCAATTTGGGGGAGGTCTCAGCCAAGAACCAGCTCCTCACATTACGTCATGAAGACCCCTCCTTCAGCCGTTCTTCGGCCTCAATTCGGTTCTTTCTCGCATTGGCCTCACGGTTTTCAGGACTTTTTCGTCGATGTTGAATCCCCGTCGTTGGGCAAGTTGATCAAAATTATTCCAAATGACCACGCGGAGGAAATTCATTGGACGTTTCAGGTTCGCGAAAGCATGCGAGAGCCTGCATGTTGCCCAAGAGCTCCAGGACCTGCGAGAAAAAAATAAAACGGACATTTGACACTCGGTAAAATGCTGGTGGTGGTGCAAGGTCACCAAGATATCAAGAACAAGAAAGACAAAAAAAAAAAAAAACAACACACCAGACATTGTTGACAATTGGGCAAGTATCTATTTCATGTAGGGGAAGTTTCGTGCATTTGCCCTCAACCAGCAACTGCCTTGGCGATGGGGCTTGAAGCCGCCAAATGAAGCAAGGCCAACAAAAAGGTGATTTGCAGCGATACCTGCTTGCAAGCAGCAACGTTGGAAAAGTGCGTGGCCAATTCATCATGGAACTGTGGGACCATGTGTGAATGGATCCTCAAGAGCACAAAGACAAGCGACCCAAAATGAACAAGTGGCACGCATGCATTAAGCGAAAACAAATTTCCAACCAACACAACTACTTCATAATGAAGCGCGCTGACCCTATAGCCTATAGCCCTTACGCTTCTCTACCCTATGCGGCAGTCTAGTCTAGTGCACATATTCGCCTGCAAGGCGTGCTCAATCTTATGAGAGGAACGGAGCACGCTATATGCACGCACAAAGCAAAAGAACCTTAAACAAGTCTGCGACGTCCACGATGACGGAACGAGTCGCCCGATTTGGGAAAAAAACACTGTCACTTGTCAGTGGCAGAAAGGGCGACGGTGTTCAGATACCATTTTGCGGCACTGGCACCCGCGGCTCCACGAAGCTAGCCATGTTTTGGCTTCAGTGGAGCAGCAGTGGATGGATCAGGCCAGGCGAAGGCTCGTCCACTTGGCATAAAGGCAAAGGATGCGCCTCTTGCCCTGTTCCAAAGACTGGTCGCACAGGCGCAAACGGCAGGAATCCGATTGTGACCAGCCTGCTCTGCTCTACCTGCGCTCGGGGAAAGCGCAACTCTGCGGTGACCAACTTTGAGGCGCGGCCGTGCTTGCTCCTCGTAGCGATGCCCTTTGTGACTAGTATATAGCTTCTTGTTCCTAGTAGTAAGGCCAGGAGCTGCTAGTAACCGTCCTTGCTCCTAATAGTGATACTAAACACTAGCAATGTCAAAATGTCCTTTGTTCGACTTTCTTTTGCCCGCGAAGCCTCCCTTGTCTTTTTTGTATTTGCTTTCGCCTGTTCCAACCTGATAGAAATTTACGTATTGGCCATATGGGTGGATGGCACCAGTCCAACGAACAAGTCCTCCTTTGCCTTTTCACCCGAAACAAAACCAAGTCGTATTTCCACATCTGTCCTTACCATTGTGTGTGCCCTGGCCGATATGGTGGCGAAGAAACAAGTGCCATATACCTTTCGTGTTGCCGTATCCACTAGAAGCTGCATAGGCCCAGAACTTGAACTCATTGTTGGTACGCAGGCGTACGAATCCATGTCGGTATGAAGGCTCATGGAAATGATGACGCGTTCTCTTTGGCTGTCACTGCGAGCAGCTTGCACAAGAAAGATAGGCAAACGAAGGTTGTCTAACAGCGGCAACCTCTCCAGCGATCATCCTGAACCAATACAATAAGTTCTTCGATCGTCTCATCGCCAGAATCTCCTCCATCGTTGCCACACAGTTTGCATTGTAAATGGGCACATCTACCCAGGGGCCATGAAGAGTCCAGTGAACAAAGCCGAATGCACCCAGCCATGTCCTAAATAGCTGTTGGATGCTGTTGGAACCTCCCCAGGAACGGGTAACTCACTCCTTTGACAAAACAAGAACGACTAGCGCTTGTAGTGGACCACTGCAGTCAAATGCAGCTGCGCACTGTCAAGCGTGGACTTGCAGGTCTCAGCGGACAGAGAGGGCACTTGAGCTCACTCGATCAGATCTCGAAGGGAGTCAAGCGAATGGAGCCGCACACTCTACCTTGCTCCGAGAACTGTAGCTCTACTTCCAGTGGACTTGGGGCGGTCCGCTGCATGGAACAGAACCACAAGCTCCGCTACTACTTTGCAAGGACAAAATGCTCCAGCAAACTGGCGGAGCTTGGTCTGTGCCCAATCTAATCTAGTAGTAGCGCACGTTCCCTGGTGAACACCAAAAAGCCGTGCAACCAACAAGCGCAGTGCAACGGAGCGAGTTCTTTTGCTACAAGCGTGAGGAATTCCCCTGTCTTTTGCCAAATGGCATGTTGCTATATGGTCGTTGTACTGTTGGACCATGTGTGAATGAGTCCTCAAGAGCACTAAAACAGGTGAACCCACATAAACAAACCCTCGCCAAAAAAAGAAAAGAACTCCCAATCCAGCTCCCAAGGTCGGACCATACCAAACTTTGTGGTGGCTTCCGCTGAGGCTTCGTTATCCTCACAACACATCGAAGCAACACATCCTCTGGTGTGAAGCCAGTGCAAAACCGTGCAAAGCTCCAAAGCTTGGGCTGCTGCAGGAATCTAGGCGGGTAGCCTCCTAGCAGAACTACGCTTGAGCCTAGAGTCAGCTAGCCGCAGCTGGCCGAGCCTTTGTCAAAGCGGCGAACACTATTATATAGTAGAAGTTGGACAGACTTGATTCTCAAGCTGTTAGCAAGGCCTGCGGCAAAGCAGGCAAGACATCCAGGTGCCGTGCTTGTCCAAGCAAGGATGTGGGACAAGTCCTTTCATCACTTCCAACATTCCCCGAATGTACTTTCTCTGACTGACTCCAACCTCGAACCGAGTTAGCGTGCGAGCCAGAGAATGCAAAGGCCTAGGGCGCCAAAGGAAAGAACACTGCTTTGCAGTCCGCTCTCAAAGCTTTGAAAATCCACCACACTAGATCCTAGCCTGAAAAACTTGTGCTTAAAACCTTCTAGGAAGTAAGGACTCCGCGTACCCTCTGAAGCATAGAGCAAGTTCAGTAGATAGTAAGTTGGTCGACCAGGGCCTTGGTTGTCTGGATTCGCACTTCGTCGCAACACATAGCGATTCATGGCTAGAGCCAAGGGGCAATGTAAGGCAACCGTCGCTTGCCAACCCCGACTCCTGGTGCAAAATCAATGTGTATATATATGATTATAGTTATATGTATAAAGCGCAAATACCAAATCGCCTTACGTGCTTGCAAACTAGTGAAGTACGACTCGCATGTCATCTTTCTGGCACCTGGTAGGAATGACTTCAGCACATTTGATCAGCCGGACCTGCTGTCAGAGCAAGGATTGAATCGCTTGTCCTTTATAGAATCGAACAAAATGTCAGACCGCATGCAATCTTAACACCTTTCACAGTGCTACCAGCAACGTTTTTCCAACCTCCACAAAGTGCTGCGGGGTTCCAGATTCCTCCTCCTCTTCCTTCTGCTCGTTCAACTGGGCAGGACAGCTAGCGAACCTCTCTTCTGTGTAGAAGCAAAGGATGCAATAGGCCTTGTACCCATGGATCACACGATGGGGCCACGAGTTGGTCCTTTGGAGTAGCTCTTGCACTGGCTCAGCGTTTGCAAACAGCCAAGGTCTTTATAAACAATCGCTCACTGGCAAAAGAAGAGAAACTAGGCAGCTTTCATGAATGGCCCGAAGTGGGTAAGTGCAAAGTAATTGCAGTCTTTGGATGGAGGCTTGTCCACCCTTGAACAAATATGTCTTTACTATCCTGTGTCTTGTTTTATATATCCTTAGTTTGCCTTCGTGGAACAAGACAAACCACGTGTTAGCAAAGCACATACAGTAGCTGAAAGCTGAAACCAGGTAGCTTAACGGGAGCCATAAACGGTCCGCTTCTTATATCCCTCCTTGTATCATGCTACTCAGTGCATGTTTCTGCATACTTTGTGGGGTCAGCCCTGACTTGCAGTTTGTGTGATAGCTCTGAGGCTCGTGCTGGTAAAAGCGATATGTCTTCAGAAGTGCTTCAGGAAGAAGTCCCTGCCAAAACCAGCAAGTACTAGTCAGGGAGAAAAACACATGCAGCTCATGGGTATTGCTGAAAGCTGCAAAGTATTCTGAGCTTGCCAGCAAAGCTATGCTTGGTATCCAGACCAAGCTCAATTGAAGCCATCATACAATGCAATAGAAAAGTGTGAATTCCACTGCGCAGGTATGAGACCATTCATGGCGAACAAGCAGTTTCTTCGTATGGACTACCACATGTCATATGTATATACGTGTATATATATACACAATATATGTGTATTCATATATGTATATATATATATATGTGTTCTATACGTCCATTGTAAAGGTTGTGAGGACATCTATAGCTTTGCCACCGATGTTCGGCACTCTGCCTCCAGAACTCGCTGGGGCAAATACTGCCTCAAAATCGAGGTAAATATTGAGGGAGAGAATTCACAAAAAATCAAAGGACGAAAGAATACAAAAGAACCTTTCTCTTTCATCGCCATGCCAATGTTTTCATCTCGATGTTCCGTTTCTTTCGTCCTGCATAAGTGCATCTTTTTGGTCCCCATACTCCCCTTCGCGTTGTGCTCGTTCCCACACTGTTCGTTCACCTCCGAATTCAGCGTCTCAAGGCCAATGCGCTGCAGGCTTTGATTCACCGGATTGTTCTCAGAAGGCACCAGCCCTTATGCTGTTCAGGCGCAACATGTTTTCGCCTTTTCTGCTATTCATGTACAACAGCTCTGTGAGTCATCTCAAATACTGTAGATCGACTGAAATCATGGTAAACCTTGACAAACATCCTTGAAAAGAAAACCCTGTACACACAAATTGTAGGCAATAAAGTATGCTATGATGCTGCACTTCACTAATTGTGTCCTGAAACTTGTATATAACTGTATAGATGTGCTAGCGTGGGCTTTGTGTAGCCTGACTGTACACGGCTCCCACAATGTCATATCAAAGTGTGGAAGAAGTGTCTCTCACCCCTCACCGGAGAAACTACATTGCGCTTTCAGCTCGTTCGAGAGTCTGTTCCATGTCTAGCAAAGGTTATTGGCAAGGCCAAAAGTGACTGTCAAAAAGCCAGAGTACTTGGTGGTTGATCAATATTCTTTCATCCTGGAATGGCCATTCTTCGCGGAAAAAAGATATCTTTCGCGGATCTTTCGCGGCCTCATCGCGAAGCATGGTCCTACAACCATGTCCAGCTAACATGAGCCGGAACATGTCATAGTATCACAAAATAGGGACAGACATCTTGCAGCATGACCACAGTAGAAGGTTGAACGTTTCCACAGCTACTCAGGGTCACTTGCAGCATCTGTGGCACAACTCAACCCAATCCTCGTGCCAGCTACCAACACAGGGTGATGCAGCTTGGGGAATGTTGGGGGGCCTCAAGCTGGGAACCTGGACTTTAGCGGCACATTCGCGAAACTTTCGCGGATCTTTCGCGAAATTTCACTGGCGCTTTCCCGGGGAAGCCGTATGCAAACATCTGCACAGCCAGTCAGAGCAGCTGCAGGTCGTTGCCTCACTGTCAGGGCTGCGCCTACTCAGGTTGCTTGTCTATGATAGTGGGGACAGGAATCGGAGAATCCTTTACGCACTGTCAGGGCTGGGCACGGAAATATTGAGGCTTCAATCTGTGACATGGGGACACTTCCGCCCACCGGCTCTGCCGGAAGATTGCCTTGTATTTCTATTCTTTGTCAGTAAGGAAAACGTATGAAAGCGATGACCGTCGATAAATCTTTCGCGGAAAAAAAAAGATACTTGCGCGAACCTCATCGCGAATCTTTCGCGGATGGTTCTAACAACATCTGAAAGGCTGTTTTATATAAAACTCCTTACACGGGGTTTTCGATCAACTCCCACTTGTATACTCATGTACTCAGAATTTCAAGCGCCATGCAGCTTAGATCCTGAGGCTCTCCCTGGTGGGTCATGCTATTGGGGCATGGCAAGCTTGCAAGCACATCAACATGTTTCTCCTTGCAGGATTGTGCCGCAGAGCCTGCCTTCATCATCCTCCTCCTCGCTGACATCCCCTGCAATCTGCACAAATCACATTTGCCGCCACATATCTTTTCGATATTTGGAGACAATCAGCACAAAGAATTTTATCCTCTAAGTTTCTAAGCTCCATGCCATCAGACCATTGCTCTGTATCGTCCAGTGGTTCCCGCCCATCTTCCCCAGTTCCTTTGCTTGGTGTGCGACCTCAATGACTCAAGGAATGCTTTGACTTTTTCTGGTTTGAACACTTGTGTGACTTTGAAACTCTAGAGACCTGAGCAAATACAAATCTCCACCAAAAGAACAAACAACCAACCAACCAACAAACAAACAAAGCGATAATAACGTTCCGGTCCCCTTGTCCCGCGCGCCCGCATGCCCATGACTGACACCCCTTGTTCACTCAACTTTACGTATACCCATCACCGATTAATGAGCAATCAATCAGGCGGACTAGTTCCTTCCGGCCTTCCTACTGGCACCCTTGCCCCCGAAGCTCAGAATATCGCAAGAAGCATAGCACTGGCGTAGCACATGAACCGATGGCTCTTAGAACCATAGCACAGACGTAAAGCGTGAAACCCAGAGTTATGTCCGCGGGAAGCGCTTTCAAAAGGCTCCAGGGCTCGCACGCACCAGGGTTCGTGAAAGTACGACACTCGGAGGGAAATTCTTGGGCTCAGTCTCTGGTTTGCCAGCCTCTCACATCATGGAAGTCTTCTCATGTGTTCTCAATAACTCTAATAATTATTAGGTTGGAGGCCATCCCAATTAGGTTGGAGGCCGTCGCCGCAAGGTTGGAGGCCATCGCTGATAGGTTGGAGGCTATCGCTAGTAGGTTGGAGGCCATCGCTACTTGGTTGGAGGCCATCTCTATCGGGATTAGGTTGGAGGCCGTCACCGCAAGGTTGGAGGCCATCGCTGATAGGTTGGAGGCCATCGCTAGTAGGTTGGAGGCCATCGCTACTTGGTTGGAGGCCATCTCTATTGGGTTGGAGGCCACCGCTAGAAGGTTCTAGGCCGCTAGTAGGTTGGAGGCCATCCCAATTCGGTTGGAGGCCGTCCCCGCAAGGTTGGAGGCCATCGCTGATAGGTTGGAGGCCATCGCTCTTAGGTTGGAGGCCATCCCAACTAGGTTGGAGGCCATCGCTGATAGGTTGGAGGCCATCGCTAGTAACTAGGTTGGAGGACATCCCAA